CCTGCACGCAAGGCATCAGGCCTGCACGCAAGGCATTAGGCCTGCATGCAAGGCATCATTCTACTGCAGTTTCAGCAGATCCAGATGCTGAAGTCAGTTTTAACTCAAGTTATTGGAGAGCAACAGAGGTAGCGGCATTACATCCAGAGATTAGGGCGCACCGTGCATGTACATCAGTCGCAACTAAACCAGAAGACGCACCGTATATGGAAGATGATCCTACCCCCCGTTTTCCCACCAGAAAGCCAGCAGCCCCGCATCCTGCAGAAACATCCAACACCCCTTCATCTACATGTAGTCCCGATGACCAAGCCCCTACCATTGCCCCGTCGAGTAGCAAGTCAAGCAAAGATGACAAAGGCACAAGATTGAGCCAAAGTCTACAAGAAGCCCAGAGGAGTTATCCAGCCATAAGAAGAGTGGTGGAGCTCAAGTTGGCCAATTCCAAGGGGATCAGTAGAAGGAAGATGGCACATCAACCAAAAACGGAACAGAGGCTACTTTATGTGTGGGAGCATCTGGAAGTGAAGGGAAGTCTACTTCTGTACAAGACAGGTGGAGCCAAGGCCAGGTATTGGTACTTGACTGTGCTACCCCAGTTTTCCAGGGACTTCACCATGGGGACTTAACTTACATGTATGGACAGGTACTGAAGCTTGTGCGGCAGATATTCTTCTGGCCAAGTGTTCAAAATGAGACAATGAGCTATATGAGATGGCATCGGAAACAAGACCAGTCTACATATACACCTGTGCCACAGAAAAGCCACTGTGTCATTCCCCCACCAGATGAATTCCAAGATCCAGTTTGGTAAACAGAGTTTCAACTTTTCCATGTACAAGTACACCGTAGACGCATTGCTGGGGACAGCAATGATTTAAGATCGGGTGAGTGTGGCAGAACTAGAAATTTGTTAGACTTTTTGTAAGCGTCTTTTCATAGTGAGTGCCGTAGTTCCCCTATAAAAATACAAAGTTTAGTGTGTATTTTCCTGTTGGTGATTCCCCCCATTTGTTTACTTTGGCCCTTGCTTCAATCCATATAACTTGGCCCCAGGCTCTGACCACACTCTGTGTAGCACAACAACTGAGACAATCTTAATGCTGTTCCTCCTCCCTAGAGTGTGCTTTTCTGCTTGCGTCAGGTTTCTGTCTGGTTCTAAAAAGCCAGAAGTGGCTTTGCACCAGATGCATCATACATACAGATTTAGACAGAGTGAAGTATTAAGTACCGGTACATGTATGTAATGTACATGTATGTACACTTACACCACCAAAATCATACTGTACATTCAAAGACAACCACAGTTACCAGTAGAAGCTTCTTCTTGCCAAACCTAACCCGAGCGTCCTTCAACATACATGTACCTTCTGTTTCTTCCAATGCAACCTTTTGCCCTTGCTCTCATTGTTTTTGAGTGGTTAACATGCATTTTGAAGATTCTAGCAAGCATAAGGTAATGCTAGCAAACCCATCTATGGACAGGACAAATCTGACAAATTCAACATCAAAACAGCTCTAGAGGGCCTATGAGAGGCAAAGCCATTTCTGCCTTGGTCTATTAACCCACTTTCTGCTCAGTCATCCGTGAGGGAAATTTGGATTTCTTGGTGTCATACAAAAAAGAACATCATATCAAAACTAATGACGGTTTACAACCATTTACCAAAAGAATTAGTCACAATGGACATATCTAATGAGATGCCATTCTGAGGGGCCATGTTCATGTACACTCACGCAGCTGTCTCAACCTGAGCGCACATGCACACTTCTGCACTTGACTAGGCCTACTCAAGGAGGAATTTCACGCACGCACTCCACCTGCATGCGAACAGGATGGCTCAGTAGGCATACGGGTAGTAATGGCTTCCAATTGTGGTTGTCGGATTTGTCTTTAAAGAAACAAGAAATTTATCTCAGTTTCCCAACAATCTGTGTACACACATGTAGCTCTATGGGACTACATGTGTTTGTAGCATACTTCCAGAAGTTGTAAGGTTTATGCACAAACCTTACTAACAGCCATGTACAAAACTCGTTTTGGCTGTTTTGATTGTGCCAACTTACTCCTCCATCATAGATATATACAACAAAACATCACACATGTACACACATAAATAATATACTTTTTGGTGAAGTTAGATGTCTGATGGGGAGCTTTATTCACCTTGTATCCTCATTAACATGGTTAAAATTCGTGAGCATTTTGTCCATCGCCACAGTACAGTAATGTCAATAACTGTCAGCTATGTGACAGCTTGACCAATCGCAACACAGCTCCTTTCTTTTTGTTTTGTTTTCCTTACCCCATCCAAATGAAAGCTGAGCTATGATTGGTCATTGGAATGGAAGCAAACTGGGTCAATAAATCACAGTGCGGCTTTCATCTGTGGATGACAGGAAAACAAAAGGAAATGATAGGAGCTATGAACATGTAGTGATTGGTTGAGCTATCCTACAGTTGACAGTTATTGAGAGTACACGCTGCTGATTTTCTGTAGTGTGGATGGGCGAAATGCTCGAGAATTTCACCATTTTAATGAGGATATAAACCTTTATAAGGTGAATGAACCTGCCCATCAGACATCTACATCTGAAGGCATACATGTACATGAAATTTGGTTGCACAAATAGCTGTCAACAGTCAAAATGTGTTCATGGGAGTTTGTACATGGCTATCTGTAAGGTTTTTATGACCCTTACAGTTCTAGAAGTACATGTACATGTAGTCCAAGTAACTTGGATCCTACAAATTGCCTTTTTAAAACATTTGTACATACATGGTCGGTAGTTGGACGATAGTAGGGTCCAAGTACCTTCCATAGGCTTTTGCTTCCATTAATTCTTTAAAAAGAACATTTTCTTAGTCAGACAACAAAGAGTTATACATGTACATGTAGTTGAAAGAGTGTTACCAGACCAGTGTCCAGTGATACGTTCTTTTGGAGTACCTCAAGGTACCGTGCTTCTGACCTTTATTCTTGACTTATATTAACGATCTACCTCAAAACCTGGCATCGAATGTATGCCTATTTGCTGATGACTGTATCCAGTGTAGGGAAGTAAAAAATTCTAGTGACACAAAAAGTCCTTCAAGAGGACATAACCAAGCTACATGTATGCAGTTGGGAGACCAAATGGCAGCTGGGTTTTCATACATGTACATCAAATTGCTTTCGAATGGCTGCAACTCATAAGCCAAAACCCCTTCTGAATAACTATTTGCTCCAAGGAAATCCCATCAACCATCGCATCATGCCTACCGGTCCCTGAGTGAAACTTACTTCAGACCTGTCAAAATGTGATTTTAAGCCTGTTCGTGTTTGACAGGGTCTTTTGATAACATTTGATTGAAACATGTGGTTTATGCGATTGTTATTTGCATCTTGCTCCCCGTGCATCATCCATCAATCAGATGCACATGCATACATGTACACCATACATGTACATGTATGTGCACAGTTGTGCGACAGCACCCGAATACAAAAGGGACTGTTCGGCACCAGTTCGACATCGATTTTTGACAAAACAACATTTTCCTTTTCTTCCAAATAAACACCGTGTCATAGATGTTTCATCAACTCCTTATACATGATTTGGGGGGATTTTCAATAGAAAAATGCGCATTTTTGGTTACCTTTTTGTAGTCTTCACAAACCAAAACAAGTCTTGATGGTGCTTTGGTCAAATGCCTTGAGTTCTTTATCAAATGAAAGAGTATTATAAGCTCTACAAGATAGTGACATCATTGTTCCAAACCTGGTTGAGTTTCGCGAGATATTATTAGGCTTAGACGAGACTATGGCTGTGTCCGAAACGGACTTCCAGAGCTACGGCTACATGTAGGTCTATTGTCTACGCGTCTCCACGCATTTCCAATGGAACGAAGCCCTAGACCTAGCTCTAAACAAGAGATTCAGATGCAGCCTATGTCACACGGCAACAAAGAAAGATGGCCGCACACAGTTGTTTAAGTAGGGCCTAGTGTAACTTGTAAGTGGCTCCAATCTTACATTATTTTTATCATACCTTACACCCAAAACTCGACGCAAACAGACATAATAAATGGTACTAACACGAATTTAGGTTCTTTTTTTACAACACAACTGCTTTTTTAAATGTAAGAGTTTGATGCACAAAGGGCAGAAACCATTGATTGAAAAACAAACACTTTTACAAGCTTCCAGAAATAAAATTTAAAGGTGCCGTTAGCTGGACTCCATTTGCCGCACATCTGGCATGTCTGGCTGTGCTTAGTCTTGCATTTCAGCATGATCCTTGGCTTAAAATGTCATGAAAGTGTCAGTCGTCAGAATCTACAGACACCAGCATCAGGTAGCCTAAAAACAAACTCAATACAACTTACAGGTACAAGCTTGCACAGTATACACTTTCGATGCTCACGTCTTGAATGATGCAGCAGTGATGTCCTATTGAACCTGAACTAGTCATGGCCTGTGCACGATCGAGTATGTATGGGCCCGGGGCCGGGGACGCACCCATGCATATGTGTGCAGTGCAAAGGTGACAATCGCGCCCTCTCTTAGACGAAACCTCAAGTGGATCGCAGTTGATCGCGTGCTTTTATAGGAAAAATAACATGCAAAACATTTTTGGAATTTATAACTTTTTTATTCAGTTCCTTCTTAAAAGTTCAACTCGTACAAAGGCCTTTGATAAAATGTCTGCTAGCATATCAATTTATAGAAACTTAAAAATTACCTGACCTAAACGAAAAATAACCTGCCAAATTGACTTCCGAAAATAATATAAATAGGCCTACGGGTTCAAGAATTGGAGAGCCACATACCATACTCTTTGAGGCGTTTCACTTTCACATCAAGTTTAGTGTCCAAGTTATTGTGCACCACTATAATTTCACCCTTCTTCGCTCGCCATGTTTCATTGAAGAACAGCTTCCCGTTGGGAAAGTTGTCCGAATGTAACACTTTGACCTGCAACTCCGGGATCGTTTTACTCTTGAGGAGTTCATTCATCGCCTGGCTGGGCTTTAGTGATTCGTCCCCTGTCCTCACGGCATCCATCCACTGGATGAGAAACGCAATCGCATTCCTGGTGGGTTTGAAGTAGACAAAACCAGCGTCGTAAAGGTTTGGGAGTTCTCGCTGAACTGCAACGTCGAAATCGTCCTGAAAGTAAGGATAGGGGTCTCGGAGCCAGAACATGTCTGCATCGGTACAAAGAACTTCGTAACCGTTCTGTATCAATGGCAGAGCGACTCTTTGCCGATTGTCCATAAATTGAGATTTAGAAGCCCATTCAGGGTTACTTCGGGAGATCTTTCTTGGATTAATTTTCCGGACGTGAAGTCCAGGATATCGTAAAGACTTATTGGAGTAGTGTGCCATTGCTGTGTCATCATCTGTCACCACGGTGATGTTGGGACAAGCTCTGGTTCGCTGGACACTCTCCAGCCAGTTGTCGGTCAGTTCTATAAAGGCGATGTTTGTCGTGGTCAGGACAATTTTACCGGGTCGTCTCTCCACATCAGTGTCGGTACAGTACTGTTGGTCATGATGTGGCGCACGTGGCAGCGCCGTACGCTGGATCTCGGGCAATGGGTCCCGTCGCTCCTGCTTAGCCCGCACATCCTCGGAAATATCTGAGCCATCCAATGAGCCCGATGTAACAATTTGAAGCTTGCGCAGTGAACCCTGATCGTTTTTCTTGCCAACAACTGCTCCAGGGCTGCGCAAACGGTACTCACCTGAAACTGTAGGAGCATAACAAGGCTTCAGACACAATGCTTTTACTGAAACGCGCTACTACATGTTTTTGGGGGGCATACGTGTAGTGAGGAATGCATCTACATGTATATAGATTAAAAAAAATCTTTTCAAGTGATTCATTGCTTATTCATTTTAGAACCAGCTCCGAAGGCCACATAATGAATTGTACCCACGTTCAACACCGGCGAACAACAAACCGACCGCAGTCAGGAGCGCTACGATTACCGAGCCCATCTTCAGCACAAACCTGTCCAGAGAAATACAAAATACAATTCAATTCCAAGATACTGGGTTATTGCAATGCTGGGGCACGACCATTGGGTGCAACCTAAGTAAAAATGTCCTTTGTTTTGAACAAATATTAATTATAGTCTGAAAAACGGGGGACGTTGATCAGAACCATATATGGCTGCAGACGAGTTTGACCCTTGACATGTCCACGCAGATCAAGTCAACCTCACACATCCTCCTGAAAACAGGGAAGTTTCAGCCTATTCTTTGTAGGGGAAAAAATAAATATGAAGGACTGCAGCTCTGAACAGGACTATGATCTTGCCTTTTGGAAAAAGTTAGTGAAATAGTATTTTTGGCCATGTAAATTATTTTAGTTCATTGTGTATATATTGTATTAACCTTTCAAAGTCACCGTCCCACCCTAATGCCATAGTGACGGCCCATTTTCACTGCTGTCGGGACAGATTCCATCCTATGTACAGTCAGTCGTTGACTGCGTTCGAGTTTAAATTAACGGGGATATCACTTGAATTTTAAAGCAAGCGACGTCTGATGGCAGATTCAACCATTACACAGAGTGCTCTTTTGACTTCCCCATAATTCTGGTCGGGAGGGGGGGCAAGCGCGAATAGTCCTCGGGCGAATGGGGGGCGTGTCCATGTTTCCTGTCAACGCTGCCATTGATTCAGGGGAAGTAACTAGTATATATTCGCTAACATGTTTTATTGTTTCCATCCCCGAAGCAGCCATTTTGGAACAGTAGCCATGCAGTGCGCATTTCTTGTTATTGCTGGGTTTGGTAACACGATTACGCTGCATGCAAACTTGCATGGCTACTCGTGTAAACTAATCCCATTTACCTGCTGTTCGTCGGGGAGCTTCCCTTGAGAGAGCTCATTTCTCTTCAGTTTTTAATGTCGACGAGACGGTTGTTTATTGAGAGTGCCTTGAGAGCTCTGAAAGATGGAACGCAACACATTATGAAAAAAATTGCGTATAGGTGCATGGCTCTGTATTTGGTACTATTGTCACGTAGTTAAATCAGGTCTCCCCGATATCCATTTCTCAACTTTTATGCTTAATCGATTGTTTGTCAATAGCCCGATGTAAATGATGATATCAGAAGTTTTCAAAAGCATGAAAGGGCACTCGAATCTAAGTTTTCCATTTATAGAAGGTGAACATCGCAGGCAACGATCAACTTCGCCTGCAACAAGAAGGAACCCCACAACCGATTTTTTCCAGGGGGGCGCCCTACAGATTGAGCAATTTTGAGTTTTTCATGTACTCGTAAGCATTGTTTCTGAAATGTCAGGGTAGGTTTTGTAAAGTTTCACATACTTTGGGGAGGACAGTAGTATCAAAATATCGTTCCTATTTTGTAAAAAGAAAATGGTGGGGCACATGGCCTCAACTTTTCCCTTCGACTGACCGGCCATTTACAAAAAACATAGTTTTCAAGGCGAACGGAAAACGAATTGACATGGCAATAAACAAGAGAAATCTTGAACGAAATGGGGATGAAGGAAAAGCCAAGCTGAACACAAGACGGAATTGATCTCTTGAATGAGTATTTTGACAGTTGATTGGTCAGACTGGGAAAGTTTTTTTTTCGTGCGGCAAATTTTATCAGTTTACATCAAGGAAACAAACATCATCTAGTCTGGACTGCTAGTTGGTCTAGATTCAAACTACTCACAAATAGAGGAATTTCCATGACCGACCGGCATCACCATATTTCTATCAGCCGAGCTCCGTCCGCCAGCGTTGGAAACATAAAGCATCGATCCTGATCGACGAATCAACCCCTGCATGTACTCATTCGTCCATGGTTCAACAAAAGGCATCAGTCGGTTCTCGCGCGTGTCCTGAAAATCCCACGCGCAAACGGTCAGTTCACTCACTGAACATGCGCGTTTACATGTACATGTACTCCAAAACTGGGTGTGCAGTGTAGGACTATCAGCTCTGTATTTTCGACTGGTTGGATGTGAAGCTTTATTAATATTTTTCTGTGTACAGCTCCCGCGTGACCCTGAAGAAGCTGGCCATCAATACGTGAGCAGCATTCTCCCATTCAAACTCTGGTTAGGCCTACTAAGGCGAGGACAATGAAGTCAAACTGTTATGTAACATTGGGTGGCCCATGTGGATCAATGCACTCACCGACGATGCGGGGAGCCGCACGCTGATGATATAGTCATCATTCGGGCAAGCTGTGACGTTTACGGGTGAAAATCCTGATGATAATTGTGCGAAATTGTTATTGTGTGTGAAAGCCTTGTATCTTTTGACAGGTACATACGGACGGGGTGCTCAAAGTGATGACGTCATGACTTCGTCATGAAATGCCAGATTACAGTATTTAAGATAAACCGCTTTCATCGAGGCGTTCCCGTCGCGTTATTTTAAAATTCAAACCTGTCTCTCATCTTGTTCTTTTTCCTGTGAAGTTAGGTCACTGAATCGGTCCGTCGGAAAACAATCTCACACGTACAGATCGTTAAAAATAATGCAAAGTACACAAAGTTTAGTTGTTTTGCTTTTACTTATCTTGTTTAAAAGTTGTCCTTTTTTTCATTGATGAAAGTAAATCCCAGGCAGCTAGCTTACGTGTCGGCTGTATGATTGTTAGTTATAAGTAATAATGACAGACTGGGGGTCGCGTAGTATTATGGTAATTCTAGGTTATGCTCTCAAAACCCTATTTTAGCGGATTCACTTCTGTAGTAATACATGACCTTGTTTGCAGTGCATAAAAACATATATGCACAAAGCAGTTATCGTAGATTTTATTCAAAAACAACGACAGGGTCGACGCGTCGACGAACGAGACACATCCACATAAGGTTTGGACAGTTATACGTCTACAGTTAAATCTTTCCTTTACAAGGTTGCATGCTGAGACAAGCCAAATTAACTTGTTTGTTTTAAAGGAGAATACAATATTATTCAACAGTCTCAGGAATTCGGGATTTGGGGTTACCATTGCGCAAGTAGAGAGAACTGGTACCTTGTGTGACTCCTGGCGTTTTGGGCGTAGAAGGATTCGGGGTACAATGCATAACATTCACAATTGTGACCCACTCTGTGAAAATGAGTCATAAGTCGCCAGAGCCACATTTTGAGTTTTCATTTGTATTGGAAAGAGCAAATTAAGTTTTTTTTTTGACGTATCACTCATTTTGGCATCCTGATAAAAGTGGATACTCCATGGTGAAAAATACTGTGGGTTCCTACTGATTTCCACTGTGCGAAATTATTCTAAAGGACTTTTACTCCAAAGTGACTTTGGCAACTTAAGACTCATTTTCACAGAGTGGGTCACAATTACCGATAAAGCACGGAGGAGTAAGAAGATAACCAAAGTGTTAGTAATGGGCTTCATTTTCTCAAACTTCTTTTGAGTGACAGATCTCGTGCTTGAGTTAGTCTTACAGGTTTTGGGAGGGGGATTAACTAGACTAGACCGCTTGCTATCATCAGCCGATACCTTCTAAACTTCTGAGCAGACATGGGAAACCTAGGCTTGAAACAGGTTGTTGCACTGCTGGGAATGTGCTTAAGACTCGGAGAAGATCAGTTCACGTGTAAATAGGTTGTCCTATAGGCCCTAAGTCTTCAGTGTCATTTCGACGGAACCACATTCCGTACTCTTTGAAGCGTTCGAGTTTTTTGTCATGCCCTATAATGAAATTGTTGTGCATGACCACCACGTCTCTTTTGTGGTATTCCCTCCACTGTCGATTTGAGTACAGCTTTCCGTTAGGAAAGTGCTTCGAGTCTAGTATCCTGACCTTTAGCCTGGGCACCTTCCTCTGCTCGATGAATTTATTCATCACAACCTGGTCTGGTTTTAAACTGGTGTCTGACCTCATGAATTCTATCCACTCGGAAAGGAATGCTAGCGTCCGGTTAGTGGGTTTAAAGTACACAAACCCCGCGCAGTAAAATCTCGGCAAGTCTTCCTCTACTGCTAGGTCAAAGTTGCCTTCAAAAAAAGGGAACGGGTCCTTGAACCAGTAGGTGTCTACATCCGTGAATAGGACCTCGTACCCCTGGCGCAAGTATTCCTGAATGTACTTCTGGCGTTTATTGACAAAGCGTCTGTAGATCAGCGTGTCGAATACCAGAGGGCCGGAGGAGGCCACACCAGAGTTTGTTTTGACGACATGGAGGCCGGGGTAATCCGGCACCTTTTTGGAGTAGTACGTCACCGTGACGTCGTCCTCGGCCACTACGATGATGTTGGGACACGCCCTCGTCCGCCTGATGCTTTCCAGCCAGTTGTCGGTGAAATCTCGGAAAGCGGCATTGGTCGTTGTCAAGACAACTTTGTTCGACTTCTTTCCCTGAGCATGCTCAGTGCAGACGCCATCGGACAAGGTCTTGGGCCGAAGATGCCCAGAGGGGGCATGTTTTAGCTGTAAACTGCGTACCATGAAGCCTCCGTCATTTGGATGAAAGTAGAAAACTGTCCATAAAAACAAAGTCATAGAGAAGTCAGAATGATCTCGTCAAAATACATCAAATTTCTGCTCTATGTTTGAAACATGAGGACTCACCAAACACATCTGATACGAGATGAATTGATTTCATGAGCACTCACCTAGTCTTTTTGAGACGACATACATATATGTCAAACTGATCGCTGCCAAAGTTGAAATCAGCACGTATGCAGTTTTGCGTATCATCCTGCAGGAAACAACAGCAAACGGAAGGTTCACTTTCGGCTTACTGGATGTCAAACCTTGATATCCAGTTCCACAATTTTAAATAAATTGCTTTGAGTCCTCACTCCCGGCCAAACGTTAAGGAAAACCGTTCAAATGAAATGCAAGTTTGGGAAGAATTGGAAAATTCAGTGGGGATTTCTTGGGATAATGTTGTTGCCTTAAAGCGTGGGAAATGTTAGCGCAGGTTTGCTTTCCATGTTTTACAGCATTCAAAGTCTCAGTGCCAAAGTACCTAGCTTGGCAACGGCATGCAGTCAGACTGGGCTTCTGTTTTTTTAAATCAGTGTCCAATCGCTGAAAACGCGTAGGGGTCAGCAACGTAGCCAGGGTTCTGTCTGCAGAGGGCGAGGGGGGAACTTGATTTTACGATGGGGACGCAGGTTTTAAATTAATAATACCGTAGTTTGGTTGTTTCCTCATTTTTAGTTGGGACAACAATATTTCATGCGGGGGTGCGTCCCAACGCCCCTCCCTCCGGCCACGCCACTGGTAGGGATAGATGCTTCACCGACTAACGTTATAACGGCAGGCCTAGGCTCCGACCACAGTTGTAAACCTGCCTCGTAAACCGGCAGTCCTTGGCAGTGTGCACATCAAGTTTCCACACTATTATCAGCAAGTTTAACACAATCAGAGTTCATTACGAATACAACTGTTATTTGAGTGCCATGACGTTTGAAGATCAGACAGTGTAGGTTGAGGGACTGACTAGTATACATTGAGGCTCGGTACGGTACAAGAAGCAATTTACTCACGCTTTTGGTGTTTCAGTCGTCTTCAAAGATGAAGGGTGAAGTCATGTTGCTCACATTGCAAGACAGTGTACTCTTTCAAAGATCATCAAAAGATGTAGCTTGCCACTGGTCGGTATTATTACACCGGAGTGGGTGCTCCTAGACATCTTGCAACATGCACATGTGAATCACACGGGTGTAAGAATGAATCGATACCATACAATGGAGGCACGCAATAGCATTTCTGTTGTCATAATGCCGCCAGCCCGTCACAATAGCTGACATCTTCAATAGCTGTTCCGTTCACTGTGTTTATCTCCTTGTATTCTGGGAGCTAGGTTGCGATGATGCGGAAGAATCATAGGGCACGATACGATATTGTATCATCGTACAGTAACTGAGATCAAAACGACTACATTAACATTGTTAAATTAGGCCACTAAAGCCGTCGATTAACTGAGGAAATGAAATCCATTCTTTATTCACGTTTCTTGTTGTCGTACAACGACGGTGATAAATGAAATCTCCGATGAGCGCATTTGGGTAATGCACGTGGCCACAGTATCAGCGAAGTGTTTGTGGCGTTGTAGACATGAAGTAGATAAATTTACCCGAATACGTTGAATACTTACATAGAATATCTCCCTTAAATAAATTGCAATTAAAAACCGCTCAATTTTAAATATGCTTTCCGTTCAACAAACAATTAACAAAGCAAATGAACAAAAGTCGAATACGTACCAATTGCCAACGCTTGATCAACTTCCAAAATGATATGAACACGACCTCAACATTTCTAAACGTTGGTCAAGTGTGTTACTGCAAGATATGATAGTTTAATCGTACGGAAGAGCAGAACCTGAAATTATCAACAAAATAAGCAAATCCAATTTCGAACTACATGTACATGCAGTGTCTGAGATGAGCCTCTAAAGCTGTACTGATATACCCAGTGTCAGCAATACCCTATTTGAAACTGTTTAAGACATACATCTTAAAAATTTGAAACGTTTAACAGTGTGAGAACTATTTTGCCTTCGAGTTTAATTCCTGTCTGTTGCCCATATTTGCGGGCGTTTTATTTCTGTTCGCACGGCGCCCTCTGTGCACAGGGGACGTTTGTCCGTTGTTCGTGCAGTGCGCCCCCATGACATCAAAATGATGCGTAACCCTTTCCTTTTTTAAACATTTGTCACAATTTGCGGGGAACAAAAGTTTGCAGAAAGGTTACCCTTGGCTAGCATTTGCCTAAAAATTAACATTTCTTGGCTAGTGTAAATACTGGAAGTATCTTCTGTTAATATCTAGTACAAGTATTCAGCATTCATTTAGTGCTTCATATTTACAGGACACTAGTAAGACGAGTGTGTCACACCTTTGGTTTTGTACATAAGGTCAGCCATTATTTTAACGGCGATCAGTTGGCACAACTGCGCTTTTGGCCGAAGCAAACGAGGTTCAGAAACAACAGCAGTAGTCAACAGCTAGTGAAATTGCGCGTCTGGTTACTGTCGCATTTACATCATGAGATCTTTACACATTGTGCTGGCAGCCGTTAATTGCTTGACGGAATTTTGTTAGTGGTGTAGGCGTTAGCAGCAATTTGAAATAATTGACCAATAATATTTACAGGGTACTACACAGCAAGTTTCAAATAAAACAAGGCACTGCATCGGTAGCTCGTATGATACCTTGTAGATCTAATGCGGTAAGGGAAAGTCACCGGAGGCAATCTTTTTTTTTTCCACGAGGAAAAAAACAAAATACCCTCAAACATGACGTCACACGCATAGGGTCTATTTTTGAGTTTTTCATTCTGGTACGTTTGGAGAAGGTAGACAATTACTATGGATTTCAGATTTGATGCCACAAAGACACATTTTATATTCGGCTTCCACGCGCACTCACATTTTTGATTCGGCCTCGTATTTAGTTGATATTGCAGCCTATTCCAGCTTCCCCACGGTCCAAGCCCATCGGCACAAACACTGTGCATATAGTAATTAGTATATATGCAATGACTCCGCACGCATTTCAGCAGGTAATCGTTCCCTTCTGGGTGTAATTCACGCTACTAGATCACGCAATGTCAGTCTATAGCGAGATAATTAGCTGGTTCCCAGCTACCGGCCCCAGCTTAAATCCTTACAAGTTGAATGCGAGTTGCGACGGTAAAGGCTCTTTGGAATGTTAACTTGCTTGGCATTTGGTGCACACTTACCTATGGAGGGATTGTGTCCATATGATGCAAGATATGGGGGCGGAGAGAACCCCCCCCCCGCCTTTGTGTTGGTCATTGTTTGATCGGAATCTCAGGACTTCTTTACAGACTTCTAGGGGTGTGTGTTAGGAAACAATAGTCTAGAGGGCGTACAAGAATTGGACATGGGGGGGGGGCCCATCGGCCCCATATCGTGCACAGTATCATTGTGTCTGACTTTAAAGACATCCTTTCAAAATATATGCCAGAACTTTAACTTTAACTATTCAGTTGCTTTACGGTATAGGTTAGACGTAGTGCTTCTGTCGTGTTGATTTACTACCAAAATTTCACTTCAATTCTACAGTTGTGGGACTTTCTTTTACTGTTTGCCTCCGTTGTATCACACTGAAGGTTGAGTGCGCAACCGTTAGAAAACGTTGCCTCCAAAGCGGTGCACGTTTTAAAGATTTGTTTCTTTTTCTTTCTTTCTTCCTTTTTCGCGCTCTCTATACATAAATCATGTATTTTTTCATTAGCCACAAGACTTCTCGAGAAAGTGAATAGTGAGCTTTCAGAGCAACTTGCAGTTCATAAGTCCTTTTCCCAATTAAGTCAATGAAAATCCAAGAAAATCCCAACAGCAGTGGTATACTTAAGGTCAAGAGAGTATAGAAGCTGAATATGCCGATACTCTCGCGTGGAATCCTTCTGGAATGCATCCAGAAATGTTCGAACAACCAATATTTTTGTCAACATTTGGAAAGGTTATTAATGGGCCAGGTACAGTGCCAGGCTTCAGTTTTGGACTAGATAAAAGGAATCTGAAAAACTCAAAACTCATTAAACCAAAGAAAGGGAATAACTGTTCCTATTAAGCTTACTTTTTCCACATTGTCAGGTAAGCCTCTTGTTGAAGTCGACGGATTTGTGATTTAAACTGTGATTTAAATTTCCGCTGCGTTCCCTGAGTCAACGACGGAACAGTAGTAATGCCTCTAGCACAGAAGAAAAGGTACACCTTCAAGATTCTGAATCAACTTGCTCCCGGGACATCTAGACTGCTGCCGAGTGAACCTCTCTGGGCATCACGCCTGCCGTTAAGTGCTTCTTGCCCGACCACTACCCTCATGCTATCACAAACAACGGCAAAGCACCAGTCCCCTTTATTTCATGCTATGCACATAACAGCCAGCCTGCCTGTGGAGTCAAACTCGGCCTCCGGCACCACGACTTGAAATTCAAGTTTCTTGACTGAATTGAACCACTGTCTCGATTAAGGTCGATCGTCACAACATAAATACCGAGCCGTCCACAAGCATCGGTTTTAAAAAATGTATAACGTGGGCCGCGTATTAAGAGATGACCAGGGTGCAGAGGAAGGCGTGATCTTGAAAGCGCACTGGTTAGGAGCATGGGGGGTAAAATGACCATTATTCAGGCATTTTCTGCCTGTCTGATCGCGTGAATACACCACGTCCAAACATTGTCAGGCCAGTCGACGCATTATCTGGCATTCGAAGAAATCGCCAAGGCTATATATACGCTGAAGGGGCGTTTCTATGGTGATTCGTGGATAATAGCAGCCTTGTTCTCCACAAAAGTTTGTCAACAAGTCACCCGCAGGGAAGTTTGTCAACAAGTTATCCACATCTGCAGCACTTCCTCTTGCAAAAACTGAACCAAGGTAGAAAGTAAACCAAGATTCCGAATAAGGTAATTTTGCAAGGGAGTGACGGGATTACGACCTACAACATGGATTCACTTACATTTCGTGGTTAAAGACCTGTGAGTTATTCTGCCTGGTCGCAAGGCCTAGGGCCCTGGATAGATGGAGGCAATGAACTACAGAAAGCAGAAGAAAGATTCTTCGTACAGATGTACCGCCCTCTGAAATAAACCGTGGACGGAAAGGGGAAGCGGTGCAGTGTGCATTACACAACCTTGAATTGTTTTGAGCAGCGGATCGTGGAATACTCCTCCGCTATTATTTCATCGGGTAAAGAAAAGTATAATACATTGGCTCATTTCTAAATGAGGGGGCTATTTCTAACACTGTTTTGAATTTCCAAGGTGAGGAGAAAAGCTTACAGATTTTCCAAATTTGTTGGAAAAAACTACGCCAGAGTTAATATTTATCTGTAACAGTGGGTCTTTTGCTCGTATCGTTTCTGTGTTGATCGTCCAATGCTAGCCTGGATTTTACATTTGCGCTGCAGGTGACGCTCCAGGGGCGGATCTAGACATTTTTCCGGGGAGTTCAGGCCGGAGAATTTTTAATATCTCATTTATTTCAGACAAGTGGAACGATAATAAAAGATTTAATGAATACTCGCGGTCCATCGTATACAATAGTATTGGTGCACTTACTTTAGTTATTTTTTATTATTTTCCCCCTTTTTATAACCTTATTTAAGAGCAGGGGGTGGGGAGTTGACCCCCTGTCCCGGATCCGCGCCTGCACTCCCACTCTCACGTAGGGGTCTTAGATTGAACGGCTTCACCAACGGCTTCAACTATAGAAATCCCACTTCTACGAACAAACATTTCCCGAAACCCCCTTTGCAAAAATCCCGGATCCTCCCCTGATCTGACACAACCCTTGTCAGCTAACAAACTGTTTATGCGGTTTCTCGTTAAAAAAATACTCCGTTCTTTGGCAATACATTGCAAACCTTTTCGGCATTCTCACTGCATCACAGTGGACGACAAAAAAGCGGTGTGAACTTTTGTTGGAAGGGAACCATACAGTCAAATGTAAAGTGGCACTTTCTTTCAAAATATAATATATGTACTTTCTCACCAAGTCATAGATTCACGCACATTTTACAAGAAACGTTTCTACGCTAAGACAATTATTTTCCAATAATGCATCGCTCATTCGTCATCCAGTCCCATAATGCAAGACAAAAATTTGACAGGTTTATTTCCTTGGTATAAATAGGGCACTCAGGTCACAACTTTGACGCAGTGCTGTGCGGGCTAGTTGTTTCTGCCATCAAAAACGAGTATGGTACCTAGATTTATCATTTCAACTATCCATGAACTGTCGCGATCACCGACTCCCAAGAACTTTCCTAGTAGGAACTACTTCATAAATTATATCTCACGAACTACCTGTTTATATTGATATCAGTGATGAGTTAGTCATTTCAGTCTACCGCACACCGTGTATTTCTTCCTGATTAACCAATCGGCAGCCGCTTAGTTCAGCATACAAAGGGAAACCGGAATAAAATTCCCGTCTGTAGGAGCCCATGGATGTTTTGCGTCAGTCTGTTCCTTCATAACACGGCTCGATCTATGGCCAACCGTCTCCTACAAGATGGCACCAGTGCGTCGAGTGCTTATTCTTGAGTGTTAATCATCTCAAAAGAAACACTTCCTGTTTCATCAGCAATTACGTTCACTCCACCGGCAACGAGTCGAATAAAAATCGAATGAAACAAAGACTTTTAAAATCCTTATAATTGTAAAGTGGACGGACATTCTGTCTGCAAATATGTGAGTTAATTTCCCCTAGTTAAGCAAGTCCATCCATCATGAACAAAGATTGCTAACGTTATTCATACGACAGGTGACAATTCATGGCGCGCACGTGCGCGTGACAATGAAAATTTACGATGATGGAGTTGCGGCTTGTTCAGAGAAGCACCAAAACAAGCCTGGGTTTTGTCTGGCCACCCTTGGCTTTATTTCTGAATTGATAGCAAGGTAACCATGCAAGGTTTGAATGAGTGGGCATAAAAAGTCAAAGTGCAACTGAACATTGC